TATTCATAAATATTACAAGGAAAAATAGACAACTACATTACAAAAAATAAAAACTAAATACAGAAGAAACCAAAATTAACAAGATTAAATAATATAAATATAAATTAGAATTATAAATATGATGGAGGAGGCCTTTGCCGACTGGCAAACAGATAGCTTCGAAGAAAAAATAAATGTGTAACTCTGTATACCTAGTTCATAAGTTCTTTGTAAGCTATTATGAATAAAAGGCTATTTCATTTCATTTCATTATTTCATTTCATGTAGTGTTGATAAGGAATAAGGATTAAAGATTTTTTATTTTTTTTATAGTTTTAATTCTTTTCGCGCTTATCCCTTGATTGATTTCACAGCAATGTTTATAGCAGTATTTTGTCGCGTCAGAGCCGGCTGAGAGGGCCGGTATGTATTACAAATCTATCTCCCCCCTCCCCCCAGCACCGCCGGTACAGTCACGCTCTAATTGTACAGGGCCCAAACAACCGCTGGACGGCGGTATGCAATGAAACAAGAATTTCACTTAAAATTACTACACGAAATTTTATTTACATCTATACTCTTTACTAATATAATAAAGCGTAAACACATACTTCTTTGTGGCGTAAGATGTCAGCAAAAACTGCATGTTTTGAATGATTTTTTTTTTTAATAAAAAGCCCTACACTTACGTCACGCTTTAGGTTATATATTTTCACGCTATTAAACTTAGGCGGTAAAATAAATTGGATAAAACCCTGTTGAGGAAAAGAGACCATAAGCTACGAGCTACCAACATCAAGGAACCAAGGTTGTCATTTATGCATTTGAATTTTGTCATTTCACAAATGTAAACAATAAAATAAAGTTTTTATAATTTACCGCAGATGAAGCCGCACGGCAACAGCTAGTTTCTAAATAGAAATGTAGGTAAAATATGTAAAAATGGGGAACTGATCTTGCCTTGCACATACTGTCACGTAGTAAATAATATTGCTTGTAACATCTTTAAGGTAAATTCTTGAACGCGTCAAATCTTATATTGTACGTCTCTTTACTAGATTCCACCATAAGTTCTTAATTCCTTAATATAAAGCCCGCTATACACGCTCCGTCTTTTTCATATGAAGATTCGACTTGTTAAAACTATGAGTGTGAACAGAAACCTAACTGCTAACCTAACGGTACAACTGACATTTAATTTATTTCTTCACGAACAATTTGAATCACCAATTAAAACTGTCAGAACTAAGATAACGTAGTATTAATTTAATTGTTTTAAATAACTTTGATCAGTGACCACGTATTACATAATACCATCCAAAAAAGCATCGCTGCGAACTGCTCTCGAAGCTTTTAAATTCCATTTAACGTCGGTGTGCGCCGATTGTGGAGCGAATATAAATAATGTGTATCACATCACTATCGCAAATACGGGCGATTTCCACAACCGGTTTTATACCCGTTTGTTTTGTGAAAAGCCCGTTAATGACGCTAAAATGACGCATTCATAGCAATATATTAGTTTACTCCTGTTAATATATACTATTATAATAAAGCGTAAACACACACTTCTTTGTTGCCTAAGATGTCAGCAACCACAGCATACTTTTGAATAGTTCTTTTTTTAATAAAAAGCCCTACCCTAAGTCACGCTTTAGGCTATATATTTTCACGGCTTTAAACTTAGGGGGTAAATATTTTTGATAAAAATCCTAATGTGGGAAAGAGACCATAAGTTGCTGCCTACATCAAGGAAGCAATTGTCATTAGTGCATTTGTATTTTGACATTCGACAGACGTAAACAATAAAATAAAGTTATTATAATTTTATGAGGATGAAGTCGCATGGGAACAACTAGTATATCTTAAAATTATAAATGCGAAAGTTTAGGTGGATGTTTTTTTACAGTTTGTAACCTAAACGGCTAAAAGGATCTTAATGGAATTTGGCATAGATGTAGTGTATTGTCTGGATGAACGCATAGGCTGTTTTTAATTCAGCGGACGGAGTCGCGAAAGCTAGTATTACCTTTAAATAAGATATTTTGGATGGTTGTTTGTTAGAGTTCGCAGCCTAAACTGAATGTCGATGAAAGTTACCATGGATATAGAGGTTAGAATGGAAGAATACATAAGCTACTTACTTTTTGTTCTTTTATTTACACGTAGACTGTCGCGGAAGAAAGCTAGTTAAAAAATAATAATTCAACAGTTGTAGAGCCCGCTTTTTTGCTTACGTTTTTACCATATTTTTAGGTATTTCAATACAAATGATTTAAAAAAAAATATAGACGATCGGCCAAATTAACAATACTTGTTAATTACTTTAAAACTAACACAAAGTCAACTACATATGTAAAGATATCGAACGTTCCGTGGTGACGACTAGAAATGTACTCAGCTATTGAGCTTTTGCGCGAATAATGGACTGTTGGACCGAGCCCTGTGAGACTTCTTGCAAGTGTTATATAAAACTATCCCCCACTTTTCCTACTATTTGCTAACAAAAATATATATTACGAGCATCAAACATTAGTATACACACCCTGAAAGCTTAGTCGATGGATTAGAAATGTGTTTACAATTTTTTTTGTTACATTTGCATAAAATGTACAATGTTAAATATTGTATCTATTCCCCTGAAGGACTTACTAATCCTTTGTTTGCATTCCAAAGGAAATCATTCTGTCTTTTTGTTATAGGGTAAACGAACCAAGTGTTGACAATGATTATAATAAAATAATTTTAATTAATACATTTTACTGTTGATTATTGGCAAGTTGGCATCTATACTGATATTATGAAAGAGAAAGATTTGTTTTTTTGTGTGAATTGAAATAACTCAAAAACAACAGAACCGATTTCAAAAATTCACCATTAAAAAGCTAGTAACTCAACTAGTCTATACTAAAGATTAAATTAACTGGTTTTATTTTTTTTACCATCGCATCGTCATTATTTCAGCTTTAACTACATTAAAATATTTTTTCCTATAAAATCTGTTTATTTTTACAGAATACATTCTTAAGTATGGAACAATTTGAACACGATATTTATTTATCTGTTCAAAATCTGGGACGTTTACCTTAATAATAATGAGATTCGAATTTAAACATCTGTTCGCGATTGGATTAAGACATTATTCCGAGCGGCGTCCACAAGCAGCGCCCACCCCACGCCGCAGCCGCGTCTCAAGAATTACAATGCTCTTTGTTCATAGAATTATTCTCGCTAAGGTGAGCTCGCGGTTTACACAAATTAAATAACTTTTGATTCAAAACAAATTATATTTTAATATTAGCCTTACAAATAAACACGGTATAAAGTTAAACTTAGAAATAAGCGAAATTCGTACTAATATTTGCTTATACTCAGTTAATGTTATGGAAAACTGATTACGTGATGAACAAGGGAAACTGAACGTATATATTAACTGGTAAACGCTTAACAACTACGATAAACCCGCTCTCAGAATATTCTTACATACGGTTGATTAGTTTTAAGTTTGTTAGGCTTTTATATCATACTAGCTGTTCCCGTGCGACTTCTTCCGCATAAAATAAAGAAAATTTTATTTAATTGTTTACATGTGTCAAATTATCAATTGCAAATGTCAGAACGACATGACATGATGACAATCCTTGACAACCTTGCTTCCTTGATGTTGGCAGCAACTTATGGTCTCTATCCCACATTAGTTTTTATCTAAAATATTTACCCCCTAAAGCGTGACGTAAGCGTAGGGCTCTTTATTAGGAAAAGAACTGTTCAAACATAAGCTGTAATTGCTGACATCTGAGGCAACAAAGAAGTGTGTGTTTACGCTTTATTATAATAGTATAGATACTAATTGTTGCTCGCGACTTTGTCCGCGTTTAATTAAAAAATATATCCTATGTTAACCTTTCTCACGGTGAAAGAATTTTTAAAATCGACCCAGTAGTTTTTGAGTTATTTCAAAATATAAAAATATTATTTATTGAATGTTGAATTTAACACTTGGGTATATTCTGCCATTTCCGATTAAAGCATGTATATGTTATCCTTGTACGTTATTTTAATTTGTCACGCACATTTAAAGCGCTTTTTACCGCCCAAAGCTAAACAAGCAGCGCTTTGTCTGCTTTTTTTTCTCCGTCGTCACCGTTCGGTTTGTTGCAGTAATCACTCAGCGCTTCCAACAAAATATGAATGCGCTGAAAATTATGAAATATAGCTTTTGAAAGCGCTTTTCGCAGCCGTCACAGATTACTTTTGTATGTATAATAGCGAGTACTCTTTGTCTGGATATCTGTTGTAACTGAGACATTGTAAAAAATGGTAAATTTTTCAATAGGTTTTTTTTCAATTGAATTGAAAGGGAATGATTGTACAGAATTGTTTGTATTGGTTGTATAGATTTGTATATTGGGAAGTTTTTGAGAATAAAGTCCTAAGAGATTAAGGTCCTAATAATTGAGACTGTGTTAATATTTAAAAAAGACATGCAAAGCGACTTGAAGAGAGAGCAGGCTATCATCTCTATAAATTATTCTTATGTTGGTAGTGATGTCATGATTTTACACTAATGATAATAATAATAAATAACCGTAAGATAAATTAAAACATAATTTAAGTTCAATAAAATTCAACCTATAAATCGGAAGGTGTCGCCATCTATTGTCGAATAGAAAAACTAAATTTTATTTAATCTAATCGAAAATGTTTTCTGTAAAGTGTAATAAACTTTCATTTCGTGCAGAAATTTTAATTTTTTGTATTTATTAATATTCGCCTCCTTTTTTCGTTGTTTAAACACGTTTGAAAATAATCTCTATTGTAATTTTACAGGTAGGTGCTGCCATCTATTGGAACAGAATGAAATATTCCCTTTCCATGCTCAGAAAAGTTATATAAAACGTCCGCTAGATGGTGCTGTTACAAATCTATAAAAATGATTTTTTTCAATTGACAAAATACGAGTTTAATCATTTATTTGTTGGAAATTCTTTTTTTTTTTATTAAATATTCAGAACTTTAGCTTATAAATGGCCAATATATTGTCCGACCCAATTATGGTCGACTCTATCCCATGGTATAAACAGCATCATTCCAGAATCATGATTGGTAGTTTGAATGCTTTTCCTTTCACAATTAGCGTAGCAAATGAAGTCACAGCTTTGTTTCTTTGCATTGAAATGTAAACCTTCGGAACAAGTAACTAAGGTCGCTTTTCTGCCGTCGCATCTCCAGAATTTGTCGCAATCCATGTGTGGCCAGGGTGCTACGTTGCAGTCAGTCTCACACTTGTTGTCACCATTGCCACCATCTCCGTCTCCACCACCACCGCCACCACCTCCACCATCAATTTCACAGCCCGCGTCCGCAGGGAAAGTGCAAACCTGTATTTTGGTAACAAAGAAACGTCATTACATACAATGTTTTCAGTTTATTGATAGAAACATTACGTTTTCTGTTATAACAAAAATAAAATAACATACTGTTTACTGTATACACATTAAATACACCTGAAACTAAACTATCGCACAACTGTTTAGTCGCGCTTTGATTCCTATGAGCTTTTTTTTTTTATAATATAAGGTGACAAACGAGCAAGCGGCCACCTGAATCCACCTAAATGGAAAGTGACCGCTGCCCATAAACATCCGCAATTACAGATGCGTTGCCTACCCTTGATTGACGGAGGAGACGCATAAAGACGGATAAAGAGGAGATTTTCTCCTTCCTATGCGTCTCCTCCACCGTCAAATCCTCTTTTCCTTCCCATCCTTTCCTCTTATAGAAAGGGTGGATAGGGAAAGGGACTAAAATTAGGCCTCCGGTATTAGCTTATATGGAGGTGCGGAAACTACTCGATTTTTAGTTGAGCAACTAAACAGTTAAATTGGTTGCGAAACAATCGACAATCGCACCAAAGTTTAGTCAAAGGTGTGATTAATGCACTATTAATTAATTAAGTTACTTTAACAATTACTTTACTTAAGCAAAGTTAAATTTACCTGTAGCGTAGGACTGAAATGTAATCCAGACGGACAGGAGTGTTCAACCTTTTCACCACGAACACAGTAGAAGAATTTAGTGCAATCGCATTCATGCGGCAACAGTTTGTGGATAGAAAAGTCAGCGGGGCAACCATTTGGCAGGAGTTCTATCTCGTCTACTTCACCATCACCTTCGCCATCTCCACCATCTCCTCCATCACCTCCACCTCCACCTCCACCTCCGCCTCCACCATCGCCACCATCTCCACCTCCGCCGCCACCATCTCCTCCATCGCCGCCACCTCCACCACCGCCTCCGCCTCCACCTCCATCACCGCAATCGCATCCTCCAGCGTTAGGGTCACAACCAGCGTTCCTCGGCAAATCGCAAACCTTTAAACACATTAAAGAAATGTAGTAACAATTAATAAATAGTAACTATTGTTAATATTTTATCTAATCTTATCGAGACTTTCTAAACATCTGTCTATGCACGGTAGTTCCCCCAGTAAGGCAATCTGATATTACGAAATAAGTCTGAATAATCTTGGATTTTATTATTAGAGCGCTCGCACAACCTTGACTAAACTATTAGGCAACTGTTTAGTCGCACTTTGATTCCTATAAGAAAACATTACTCAATTTTTAATTGTGCAACTAAACAGTGGAATGAGCTATGAAACAATCGACAATCGCACAAAAGTTGTGCGATAGTTTAGTCAAAAGTGGGCCCGCTTTTAATGTTACCTGTAACTGCGCGTTGAAATGTGTTCCTGCTGTACATTCCCGCTCTAAAAGTTCTCCTCTCAAGCAATAGTAGAACTTGGAACAGTTTGATTCGTGCGGCAACAATTGGTGTATGGTGAAGTCCGCGGGACAACCGTTTGGTAGTGTACCTTGATCAATACAAGGTGGTCGTGCGGTGGTTGTTGTTGTGGGTGAAGTTGTTGTTGTGGCTGGAGGGCATATGGTGTTAGGAGCTGATGTTGTTGATGTAGTGGTTGTCGATATAGTTGTTGTTGGAGTTGTTGTTGTAGTTGTGGTTGTTGACGGAGTAGTTGTAGCTGGTGGACAAATAGTTGAAGGAGTTGTTGTGCTTGCAGGTGGACATATTGGCGTAGTCGTTGAATCATCTGGAGGAGAACCGGGTAGAGTACAATTCGCCAATGTCGGATGAATGCAAACCTGTTAACAAATAAAATAAGATAACAAAATGGACAGAAAGAAGGGTGTGATAACTGATATGAAGGATAGAATATCCCGCTGGACTTAAACCTAGCGCTTCCTTTTTTTGGTGTCGGGGGAAATCTTCAAAAGATACCCTGGTTCTGGGAGGAAGGTAGGATTATGTAGGATATGACTTTCTAAAACCCTCGGTGGCCGTTCTCTAGTGACAGACGAAGGTTCCAGGATCTCCAAGGAACACACCGGAACAAACCTAGCGCTTAATTTATAGCGTCTTAATTTTAACTTACATGTAATTCGGCAGAAAACTCAGTCCCTAAAGCGCAGTTTCTTGGCTCAATCCATCTTAGACCGTATTCACAGTAGTAAAACTTGGTACAATCGTAATCATGTGGCAGAAGGTAATGTGTCTCGTTGACTGGGCACCGTTCGTCGGGAATAACTCTCCTGTCTTCTTGGAACATCTCTTGATCTATTTGGTTCTCTGGAGCATCTCGTGGCATCCCATGGCTTAATGCCAAGAGAGCCAATAGAAATATTCCTCCTAAAAATTAAGAATGATTCATATATGATAGCGTTTGCTGAAATGCAGAATTGCTTGAAACTTGTTACGTAGACTCAACTCTTTCATTAATGGTTGATCGATTTCTCATTGAAATAATTTTGTCCCCTTATTACTAGTTTTTCTGATTCACGTAAGTATCTTTTGCAAAGTATTTAAAGTACATACAACGGGCTACAACTTGGAATAAACAATAGAACAACTATTGTGCGATTGTCGATTGTTTTGCAGCCAATTCAACTGTTTAGTTGCACAACTAAAAACGAGTTGTGCCTCCTCCATTAAGCTCACAGGAATCAAAGCGCGACTAAACAGTTGGGCGATAGATTAGTATCAGTTGTGGGCACGTTTTTGGTCTAAAAGTATGGAAGTCTAGATTTCTAGTGCTATAATTTCGTAACATTTATAACCTTTACAATATTATCTGATGGTATGCGATAATCTTTGAGTGATATTCATTTGTTATCAGTCTTTGTAAAATTAATGAGAGCGGTGTTTTTGTTGTTATGATTGTCGATTAGATTTTATAAAATATGATTAACAATGCAATAGGTAATAAAATGTTGAAAACCGTTTCAGTGGCAAATGATAATAAAAATCTTTTAGTATGTTTGATTAACAAAGGCCAATCAATTTGTTTCCTAATAAACTCTATCCCGGAACCAAATGGCACTGAGATCTGTAATACATATTACCTTTATATTTATCTCTTATATTTTTCTATACTATCATAATAAAGCGTAAACACACACTTCTTTGTTGCCTAAGATGTCAGCAATGACAGCATATTGGTGATTTTTTTTAATTAATAGCCCTACACTTACGTCATCCTTTAGGCTGTATATTTTCACGCCATTAAACTTTGGGGGTAAATATTTTGGGTTAAAACTCTAATGTGAAAGATAACTAAGGTTTGTCATGTCAAATCATTTTGACATTTGTAATTGATAATTTGACAAATGTAAACAATGAAATAAAATTTTCATAATTTCATGCGGATGAAGTCGCACGGAAACAGCTAGTCTTTAAAAAAACAGGAACTATAATATCTATTAATACAAGTATTAAAACAAAGTAAAAAGATGCCAAATGTACTTTTGAATTCGTCCATAAAGTGATCGCTACCCATAGAAATCCGCTATGAAATGTGCTTTCTAACTTGGTTCGACAGAAGAGGGGTTGGATAGAAAGATGACATTTCCCTCTTCTAAGAGTCCCTCCCCTCATCCATGTAAGTAAGGTGTGAGAAGGGGACTAAAAGCGGGCCACCATGGAACACACTCACTAGACAAAAGACGTAATTGCTTCCACTACACGCATATCTAAAACTATTAATAAAAATAACGTTTTCCAATGGATAGAACGTATTTAATTTACTTTAGACCAAACATTTTCATCATGTCAATTTTCATGTGTAATTAAAAAAAAAGCTTTCAATCTAAGTGCTGTTTTATTAATCTACTAGCTGTTCCCGTGCGTCTTCATCCGCATGAAATTATGAAAATATTATTTTATTGTTTACATGTGTCAAATTATCAATTGCAAATGTCAAAATGACATCACATGATGTCAGTCCATGGCAACCTTGCTTTCTTGATGTTAGCAATAACTTATGGACTCTTTCTCACATTAGTTTTTTTATCCAAAATATTTACCCTCTAAGTTTAATGGCGTGAAAATACATAGCCTAAAGCATTACGTAATTGTAGGACTTTTTATTAAAAAAAGGATTATTCAAAAATATGCTGTAATTGCCGACATCTTAGGCAACAAAGAAGTGTGTGTTACAGAACCTTATTGCTATCTCTTTCTTATATAACAGAAAGAAAAGAGACGACAATACATACCAATCATTGCGTCGAATTGACGCGTTTCGTGTAACTGAATTTTGAGTCCAATCGATTCAGCAAGAGATCTCCGTTGCACTGCGAGTAATTACAACAGGAATGCTATTTATTCTTAATACTGCATTTAACGTCATTGATAAAATCAAATATTTGATAACAACACAGATACAATCTATAATATCTTAAAAACGATCATTTATTTCGGATAAGAAGTTGAAGACCATGATTTTCTTCTAAACAGTAAAGTGCAAGCCTAACAATTGTCAATCTTACAAATATTATAAATGCGAAAGTTTAGATGGATGGATGTTTGTTAGAGTTTGTAGCCTAAACAGCAGAACGGATCTTGATGAAATTTGTCATAGATATAGCGAACTGTCTGGAAGAACACATAGACTACTTAGTTTTTTTTTCAATTTCATGCGAACGAAGTCGCGGACGAAAGCTAGTTTTTACATAAATAGTCGAGTCTACTAAGCCTTACGTTTGTCAATTTTCTTCTAAACAGTCTAGTACAAGCCTAGTGTTTGTCAATT